AAAAAGTTAACCACGTATTGGTAGCTTGCAAAGCAAGCTAACTATATGGCATACATATAAAAAACTTGCCTTACAAGTTAAGATACGTATCTTGTAAAGTCAACACGTTTTGGAGGTCCTATAGGACATTGCTACATAATTCTTAGTTAAGAATATATATGGAGGCAAAAATGAAGCTTTCTTTATTCCTTTGAATGCCATTCTAGTATTTAGTCTTGTTTCAAGACTTTCAAGTCTTTTTGTTTTTGGCAATAGCCATCTTAGTTCAATAATATATCATCTTTGAGTGACTTTCTAATTCTTTTTAGTGATACAAGAATGTATTGAGGATTCTCTTTCTTCAAGATTCGTATCTTTGACACCATGATAGGTTGGACCTTCTTAAGATCCATCATTAACCTTTCATTGAAAATGATGTATCTTAAAAAATCAACTTGAGTAGTGTGGAATATATACTTTTTCATCTTTGTATATAATCATGCATATTTAAGTTTTTATAATATACATTAAATATATAATTCATATTCTTTTATATTCTTATAGTAGATTAGAATGTTTTGTAAATAAAAAATAATAAATTTATTAACAAATTTATGAAAGAGATCATTTACAAAATGTTAAAAAATATTTTGTGTATTTGTGAATTTAAAAGACGTGATATTATATTTGAAATGTCTATACTTATTTTGAAAAGTAATCTCTCATTTATTTCCTTCTTTAATATAGATTAGATTATATTCTCCTTGTAGATCTCTTTTTGTATAAAACTTTGCTTGATTGAGTTGGATAAGAAGACTTGAAATCAAATATAGGAAGTATCTATTCTTGATAGTGATCTTATTAAGTCCTCAATAGTACATACACATTTGTAGAGATCCATCTTTTTTCTTCACAAATAAGATAGGAATTCTTAGTAGAGTTTTCAAGTAGCATATATAGTTCTTAACAAAATTCTCGTCAATGTATTTTTTTAATGTAGCCAACTTATTTTATGATAAGCTATAGAGTGGTCCAAATGGTGGTTGAGTTCTTTCTTATAGATCAATTGTACAATCATAGGGTCAATATTATAAAATAATATATACATTTTTCTTTTCAAAAATATCTTAATAGTCTTAATATTAATTAGAAATATTACTTGACATCTTTCTATTATCAAAAATATGTGTAGCATTTATAGCAAAAGATGGCCCTTCTTTTGCCACATACATGAAAGTTCTTACATCTATTAATAATGATTTGGATGTATTAGACTTATCTATTTCTACTTCACTATCAAAATTTTGGATTAAACTACAAGAAAAGTTAAGATTATAAGAAATCCAATCTATCTAAGGGTTATATTTTTCTAACTACAATAATCTTAAAATAATTAGATTAGAAGGATATCTTATCATATTAAATATTATTACACTATTATAGTCTTTAATTACTATATTTAAAGGAATAAACTCTTGAATAACGTCTCTAAAAGATAATGAACAACCATCTATGATTTTTACATATATGGATCTATTTTTCTTAATTAAAGATATTTTTTATTTTTTGACCAAGTTTTTGTTTATAAAATAGGTTGAGGCTCTTGAATCTAATAATGTAAAGATTTTATGATTTTTAGGTCCTAAATATACATCTATTGTAAAATAAGATGAAGGATCTGAAGAGAGAATATGACCTTTATTAGGTATTGCATATGATTTTAGCCACATGGCCCCTATTATAATTAGAGAAACTTGTTTTTTGACACATTATTTTCTTTGGCAACTGTGCTCTTCATTTTGTGATTGCATTGCTTTTTTGGACAATATTGGACAATGTGCTTAGCTTCTCTACAATATAAGCACAAATCTTTTTGAAAATGTCAAATCTTTTTCTATTCTATAAATATATTTATAGAATAGAAAAAGAAATGCAACCTTGATAAAGCTTAACTTGTTGCAAAAATTCTTGAAATTTTGATCTTGTTCTATTAAACTTATCAAGCATACTAAATTGTATTCTTGGCATACTTGTAAAAGCAAAACTTCCTAAATTTGGTTATGAGGTCAATTTACTAGCTTCCTTCAACTATACAATTTCTTGCCATAGATTTTGAACTTCTTCCATAGGCATAGGATTAATTTTTCTATGATTGGCACTGATGATGCATAAAATTTCTATTCTAAGAATATTAATAAGTTTGTAAAGATCTCCAATAGTTACAAATCTATTCTTACTTCCACCAAATATAGCATCTATGATTTTTCTCTCTATTTCAAACAACTTAACAAATTCTCAAGTCAAATTAGGAAAAGATAATCTCCAAATTCTAATATCAAATGAAAATTTCTATAAAGAGAGATAATCTGCTCTCTTTAAGGAAAAAAATTGGTAATAGAAAATTAAATAGTTTGTTTAAGGGAGGATAATTTGCAACCTTTAAAATACAACAATAGAAGTAGAATAATCTACTCACTTCTAAAACAAGATAAAAAAAAAAATTAGCACTCTTATCCAATTGTCAAGGATATGAACCTCAAAGAAATAAAATATCAATATACTCTTGTGACACTCAAAAAGACTAAAAAATCACTCAAAGATGATATATTATTAAACTAGAATGGCTATTGCCAAAGACAAGAAGACTAGAAAGTCTTGAAATAAGACTAAAGACTAGAAAGGTATTGAGAAGAGTGAAGAAGGCTTCACTCTTGCCTCCATATATACTCTTAACTACAAGCTACATGGTGATATCCTATAAGTCTTCTAAAACATGTTGATTTTAGAAGACAAATATGTGAACTTGTAAGATAAGTTTTCTATATGTATGCCATACAATTAGCTTATTTTGCTAGCTATTAATAAGTGGTTAATATATTGACCAAGTTTCTATCCTACTAATTAATTACAAATACATGTAAAGACAAAATAACGTCTATAAAGCTTTTAAGAAGCTTTTCTAAAAAATATTGTAAAATAATTTTATTTTTATCTACTTCTACTTAATCATATAGATAAATATCACAATAAATATGTATGTCCATGATACTCATGTCTTAATTTGTAAGACAAGTTTCATATATGTACACCACATGATTAGTTTGTACCACAAGCTACCAATATATATGATACATGGCTAATTTGTTAGCCAAGTGTTCAACCTATCAATCACCTTTAGACACATGTAAAGATGAAATCATGTCTATAAAGCTTCTTAAAAGCTATTCTATAATATATTATCAAATTAATTTATTTTTATTTACTTCTACTTATTTATATTAATTAGATAATTATTGAAGTAAATATATATGTTTGTAACAAATTTCCACCTTCAAGAACCTCATCAATTATACTACTAAGGAATAAATCACTCCTATTGAAGAATTCTTATTATTTTCTTTATGGTTCTTTTGCAACAAAAATGGGAGTATCCAAAATAACACCAAATTGAAAAACAACTTGCAAATTTGCTAAAAATCTACTATAACATGCTACATTACTTTAAAAAAAAGTTGAATGCATGAAAACATCCTATTATCAATTATTGCATAATATTAGAATACACTGAAATAAGAATCAAAACATCATTGCACCATAACAATAACAAGTCATCAATTGTACATTGTAAGTATTCACAAATCTCAATTGAAATAAGATGATAATATACCATCAAAGAGGAATGATGAATAGAAGTTGAGAAGAAGTGTTGGTGATATCTAACTTATACATCTATCTCTATGATGTCACTTTTGTCGAGATTAGGATTAGGTTAATATTATTTATTTTTTAATATGGCCAAATTATCCTACTATATATAAAGTAACTTATCATCTAATGGAAAGTTTAGTTTACTTATGAACATTTGCAAGACTTTGATGTATCTATTAGAAACAAGTCCAGATGATACAAATGAAAATGTTCTCTTGAAGTTAATAAAAAGATTGTTGTATTAGTGTGTATACAGAAGAGTCAACTTCAAGTTTTCTATGAACTATCATCTTTGTCATCCACCATCTAAAGCAAATTTTGACTCAGAGTATTGTAATGGTAAGCTATACATTTTTGTAGACTTGACAAATGCTTTGCTTGATTAGTTTGCTCACACTAAGAGTTTTTTTAGTAGTGTAAAACATACAACATTGCCTTGGAACACAAAAACCACTTAGAGCAAGTTGTCATATGTTTTAATATTACGTAATAAATCAAAATCATGTCATAGAATGGCATACCAACTCTTTACTTGATTTGGTCCTACAACTCGTGATTAACTAGAAGAGAATGTTTCACCTCTTAACATAGGAATAATAGTAATTTATTGTTTCTATTACTAATTATACTACTCTATATTTTGATAAATAACTAATCTAATAAAGTTTTGATAGTAAAATGTGTGTTTGTGTATGTATGTGTATGTTTTATTTTTCATTATGTTTTTGGTAGTAATGCATAAATGAATAGACATTTGACATCTCTATTACCTATTGCTAGAGCAACTAGTGAAGAAACAATTCTTCTTTGCTATCTAAGGCAAAAAATATTACACAATATGAGTTTATTCCTTGAGTATTTTGTATATGAATTTTAGCCAATTTTTTTAGTTAACATAGAGGATTTCATATCAATTTATCAAAATTTGAATCCATCCAATTTTTAGTCAAATATTTGTAAATAATCTTTAAAAAATAGTCATATTATATGTTTTTGGAAATTTTGTTTATATTAACAAACAACATAGTCTATGTTGACACTAAGTGGATATATGCAAAATAAATACATAAATGGAATGTACACCGAAAAAAAAAAAAAAAAAAAAAAAAAACCTTTTTTCCTATAAAAATTGACGAACTCGGTAATTTTGAAAAAAATTGCATTAAAACAAACTTCAGAAGAAAATACACAATGTCTATCTGCATTTCTTTGTCTGAAGTTTACATTCTAATATGGTTGGTTTAATTGAATAATTTCGTAAGTGTGAAAATGCTTTTTTACCTCATCTCAATGACAATTTGAATGAAATAGACTGCTACAAGTAAAGAATGTTGATGGATATGAGGACAAGAATTCGGTCTTCAATTACAATTTCTACGCTCACATCTTCATTCTTTGCACACCGGCAGCCAGACGATAGTTTTTTTTTATCTTTTTCTGAATATGAAACCTCTTCCTTTGATGACCTTCAATGATCTCTGGGACAACACATCCTACTTCACCTGCCGAATAAGAATTCAAACCTCGCTCTGCACACAAAGAATTCCTTCTATAAAAAGAAAAACTAATCTCACTAGCTGATCAGTCAATAATCCATCACTTTGCCCCAACTAGAGACAATTGCTTGCATCCTCGCGTGACTTCCACTACGTAATCTAAAACTAGTCGACGAGAAGCTCTTCTGAGTGCTCATCCCTGCGACCCATGTAGGAGGAGAGAGCAAGTAACAGGAAAAGGAACTTGCATCAATGCCGAACCTCTGGGTACCCAGAGCATCACTGCTTCATCATCTGCAAAGCACAACAATATGGCCAGTTCAATCCCATGGACAGTTAATCTTCTTGACCGATTTTTAAGACATGGGTAGAATCAACTTCCTGCAGAGTGTGGGATGAATAAATGTAGCAAGTGGTGAGAAAACGATATTGATCATCAGTTCAAAAGCTTGTGTTGGAGAAACAATTTATGGAAGAACGAAGCTGGCTCGCTGTGTGACAGAATTGTCAATCCTGGATTATACTCTATTTGGTGGAGTCCAGTCGGACAGGGAAGGGGTGTAGGGAAGAGCTTGTTGTGGGGGTTGTTGTTGTTGTTGTTGTTTTTGCGTAACCACTATTACTTCACTGGCGCTGGATTTCCGCCCCGCACTTGAGATTCGTCTTCCAGAGCTCCACCCCCTCCTCCGACTCGTTTGTTTTATTTCACCTTCTGTAGTCTTCGTCTGGATGTGAACCAACATTTTATAGGCGTCGTCCATGTGAGGTCGCTCTTCAGGTCTGCTTCGGGTGCAAAGTAGCGCCACCCCCAGCACCATGGCAATTTTTTGTTGATGTGTCGCCAGATCGGTCATAAGTTGGGGATCAAGGACGTTTTCTAAAGCTTTGGAGTTTGACACTGTTGCACGGACCCATTCAGGCAGGGTTTGGCCTGGTTCAAGTCTATATGGACTCCTTCCAGTTATCATTTCCAGCAGTATGATTCCGAAACTGTAGACATCGCCCTTCTTGCTCGGAACTCCTGATTCTGCGATCTCTGTTAAATATGCAGGAAATTCGTTATCTGTTAAAAATATGCCGGTCTATAATTAATCAACTGCGCGACGCCATCAATTCAACGAGAGCCAAGAGAGAGCAAGAAAGCCTAATCTATAACATCATATAACCCACATGCATCATCGGAGTGAAAAAAGTAGAGCAGAATTGTTTTATACCTGGAGGCATGTAGCCATGCGCAGTAGTAACGGGCGTTGAAGGGGACAATGTCGAACTAAACCCTTGTTGGGTCAAAATTCTCGCCACTCCAAAATCACCGATCTTGGCCTCCATTTCCGCATCGAAAAGGATATTTCCAGGCTTCACATCGCCATGCACAATTGGGTTGCTGCTCTCGTGGTGTAGGAACCTTAAACCTTCGGCAACTTCCATGGCTATCTTAAACCGCAGGGTCCAGTCGAAAGCTCGAATCACTTCCGAATCCCTCGGAGAATACAGCAAAGATTCTAGGCTGCCGTTGGGCATATGATCAAGCACAAGAGCCTTGATATCAACAGTCGAACAGTAACCTAGAACTCTCACCAAACTTCGGTGGCGGATGTGACCGAGGACTTCAAGCTCCGCATCCAACGCTTTATCTGCTTCTTCTTTTCCTTCAACGCAAGTAACTTCAAGCCTCTTCACTGCGACTACAGTCTCGTCCGGGAGAACTCCTTTGTAAACAGTGCCCACTTTCCCTGCTCCTATGTAATTGGCTTCGCTAAACCGGTTCGTGGCCGTCAAAATTTCATCCAACGTGAGTTTCAATTGAAGCTCTGCAGAGACTTGTGCCGAGTGCCTGCTTCCCTTCCCTTTCCGTCCTTTGTAGCATGCGATAACATAGAACAGTACTGACACTAACACTATCAAACCTGCCGCACTCCCGAGCGCGATGTAAATGATCGTGCTGGTTGCGATCTTACCCGAGCCGCATGATTTGTTCAGAATACTTCCACAAAGTTCAGAATTGTTGAGGAAGCTTTCCGCTGTGACACTGTCATGGCTGATGATGAGAGGCAGTTCGCCTGACAGACGATTCGATGAAACGTTCAAGTACAGCAGTGAGGTGAAATTCACAAACGAGCTGGGGACTGCACCCGAGAAGTTGTTGAAAGATCCATCGAAGACCTTGAGATTAATCAAGTGCTCCAGAGTCGGAAGGGAACCTTGGAGGATGTTATGAGAAACGTTGAGCTGGGTCAAATTAGGTAATGATCCATCCCGCACGGAGAACTTCCCCGTCAAACTGTTGCTAGCAACGTTGAGCTTAATTAAACTGATGCAGTTACTTATGGCCTCAGGGATGCTGCCAGAAAGTTTGTTCGAAGAAAAATCAATCCGCGTCACCATGTTCAACTCGCCAATTTTGTCTGGAATGCTACCTGTGAGTTCGTTCTGCGCTAATAGAAAATTCCTCTTCAACGAAGTAGAACGAATCGCCTGCGGAATACTCCCGCTCAAGCGGTTGTTTGTCAGGTCAAGGTCTTCCAATGCAGGAAACGTGGTAATGCTCGTGATGTTTCCCTCCAGGAGATTGTTTTGGAGATGAAGTACAGTCAAATTCTTCAAGTTTTGAAACGGGATGACACCTTGGAGATCGTTGTCACTCAGATCAATATCCCTGAGCTTGGTGCAGTTCGTTAGCTGTTGCGGTATCGTCCCATTGAGATAGTTCTGCGCAATGTCTAAGGCCTCTAGGAGATTTAGTTGACCAAAAGCAGAAGGCAATGTGCCCGACAAATTGTTTCGTGACAAATTCAGATTTCTCAAGGTTGAAAGGCTGCCAATCGAAGTTGGGATTGTTCTCGTTAATTTGTTGTTGGATGCATCAAGGGAAGTGAGGTTCTTTAAATCTCCGAGTGAAGATGGCAAGGCATCCGTTAGGTTGTTGCTTCCGATGTCTAGAATCTGCAAGGAGGAAACCAAGCCAAGCTCCGAGGGGATTGTACCCGAGAACTGATTCCCGGACAAATTGAGAACTTGCAACTGTGAGAGACGCCCCAGTGCTGAAATAAGACTTCCCTGGAGGCTTCGGTTGTAAAGGTTAATTGCTGTTACCCTTCTTCTTGTGCATGTGATCCCCACCCAAGGTCTGCAAGGATTTATCACCTGACGCCTGCCTATGGGTTTCCAGTAACGTGTAACATTATAAGGGTCTCTCGTTATGGCCGCCTTGAATAGTAACAAAACGTCGGCATCCTCTTGCAACGTTTGTGTCGAGTTCATGGTCTGCAAGGAAAAAAGAAAAAAAAGAAGAGAAACTGTAAGACTTCGAGTTCTGCTTGGGCACTGTAGGAAGTACTGAAGCGAGTTATGACTTTTGAATCAATGCAGACCTGGCATAATTGTTTAGGCAGCCAAAATCTTGTTTAGAAACAGTGGAACGACTCAGAAGACTGCAGGTTAAATCAATGCTCACGTAGTCTCCAAAATTTCCTAAACTCCTCCATAATCGCTAAACAGAAAATCATCTCTCATCAAAATTTGAAAGTACTCTACATCTGTACGTATCAAAAACCAAATCAACGTGAACATTGTATGAAACTAGTCTAAAAATCTATTTTAAAACAGGTTTATATCTTAAACGGTACAGGAAAGTAGAAATCTCCATTTATAACTCGAATCCAACATCAATGCCAATTTCCTATACATGCCTGCCTTCATGAAGAGAAACATTGCAAGTACTTACCGTGGAGTTTTCCGCAAGTTTCCTCCTGTTGCTGGCCATTCCAATTGTCATAAAAGAGACCTTTGTCATAGAGCTCCCATTCAACATAGCCCCAGACCCGCAGTTCACTGAGGCCAGACAGCAACTCACGAAGAGAACGAGATACAAAAATGATGATGTAAGTCCTGGTCGTTTTAAAGGGAAGCATGTACTACTTGTCGCCATGCTGACGGTAATTCTACTCTTGTGATCAGCAATCACTGAATTCTCCTGACATTGTCGATGGACGTCCACTTCCTGCCTTCTCTCCCCGAGACAAAAAGAACGAAGATTTCCCTCCAGCATATTTCTAGAAATTATCAATTCGTTCCTGTTCAATCTATGCCCTTGTGTCTGGGTTCTACAAGGGTTCTGATTGTGGATTATTAGTTTAACTAGTCTTGCATATCAAACTGGCTCCTCAGCCTCCATCTCATAACAATGTGCGCAGTTCTCTAAATCAGGCCATGGATACAAGCAACAAGAACCCAAAAGTACTGAACTCCAACTCAAAGTGCTAGAGATTCACACAAACCCCGGTGCGGTCTGAACAATCACCACTCCACAAGAAACCAAGCCACAACAATATGAAGAACCGCGAACCACAGGATAATCCAAAGAAACGCTGAGCAACATCGCAAAGAAACTCCCTTAACCGCGAAAATCCACCCAATTCTGCACCAACTGCGTCCCAATGTCTCCACCCTCTTGCTGCACTGGAATTCTCAGGAAACACCTCCTCCTGCTGCAGGTCTCACACGTGACCGAATCGTCCACTCCCCTCAAACATTCCAACGCGAAAATACACGTGCACGACACCATCCCTCACAGAATTCCCCAACACCACCGCTCCCACCTTCAGAAAGCCTCATGCGGCATACACAACAACACTACTGTCACCAAGTTCACCATCTCCCCACCCCCCCGAAGTGCAGTAACCGAATACCCAAAGATTTGGTCCCGCCCTCCCTCTCTCTCTCTCTCTCTCTCTCTCTCTCTCTAAACACAAGCTACAGCGACAAAACAGTTGGTGATTGATTGCGCCGACACCTGGTCAACATGGCGCAGAAACACCAACCAAACTCCCAAGCTGCACCCATCCATCATCTACTACCCTACGACCACCATATTAGTTCCATGCGGAGGGGGCGTGAGGGCGTGGTGGATGGGCTCTATCATCAATGCCATCACCGCAGCCCTGCCCCGCCCTGGTCAATAAGTAAGTCAGTGAAGTAAAGTGACCCCGCTTCCACTCCGAGTCGACGACGACCTCGTCGTCTTAAAATGGAGCAGTGCCATCGCCCGCGACTCGCCCGCCATCCCCCTCGCGCCTCTCCCGCAACTTGACGTCCACCGCCACAGCACCGTTTCTCACACTCACTCACTCCTCGACTTTGTCGCCCTCGGACGAACGAACGAACGAATTAACGATTGCAACCGTCGACTCCCGCTTCGTCGACGGCGACTGACGCCATGTGCCTTCGGGAAACTCTCGTCGTGTGGGACGAGCCGTAAAAGGTGAAAGGTTGAGGACGCCTTTTCCGGGAAAAGGCGCTTGGCACTTTAGTCATGCTCTGTTCGAGGCGTCTGTAGTTCCGTTGTGTACGTATCTGGTGTACATATACTCGACGCGTATGGACTACGGGTACATGTGTTTAAGTCGTTCATGTTCATGTCCAGTGTGGGTCCGTTGTGTACTATGAAATCGTTTGTGTGGGAGAGTTCATATTCTATTTGCTTAACACTTTATGAGGTTCGTGCGAATAAAATTGTAAGGAAATAAATTATATATTTTAATATAATAAAATATATGTAAAAAATGCACATATTATTATAATTTAGAAAACCATGATATTTTTTAAAAATAAATCATCACAATTTAATCTTAGCAGAAAAGATAGAAAGAAAGTATAACCTGGAAGATAAATATTACACAAGTATAACTTATAATACATCATTTTAACTTTAAAAACTTGGTTTTTCTAAAAACATATTTTGATTTTTACACCAGTTGACTTAACAAGTTCTATTAAATATTTTATTTTCTATATATATATATATATATATATATATATATATATTACATTCATATTTTTTGAATTGCTCTAATTTTTGTTATGATAATTAGGTAGCAATGTTTTAAGCAAATACAAAATACTTTCCAACATTACTGCTGGTGTTTTTTTCAACATGATTGCATTTGTAAACCCATTAATTTTAAAATTACTTATGTATTAACTGAATACTTGACCATATTTCTTATAGACATAAGGTACATATTTAAATTTTTTATTATTTTTTTGTAAATTATTTTTTTTGTAAGTTTGAATAATAATAGAAGACATAAAAAATAAACTATTTACAAATAGGTTTCCATTATTCTTTAAATACTTTATCAAATTATTCAACTCTTTTGTGTTTAAAATACATATATATCTATATTAAAAATAACATTTAAAAAATATATATATATATAATCATTATTATTGAAATAGAAATAATATTGCATATATATTACATAATAGGTACAATGCATAGCAAAATATTTATTTCATTGTATATTTTTTGTATTCAAAGTTTATGTCAACAATTGACAAATATGTCAGGAAAAATAACCTCTCTCATAATACTTTGTTAACAAGATCTACAATGCCAACAAATATAGCTGGTATAATTATTACTTCATTTTCAAAAAAAAAATCATGTATCATTCTTTCTATTTTTTAAATAATCTTCATCCTACTACAATTTGGTTGCACAAGTTGTGCTTCATTCTAAAACCTCTATTATCCATTTTTCTTGAATTTCCACTCACTATTAATATAACAGTCAACATTCTCTAAAACAAAGATATCAGTCTAACAATCATCTCTTTCGTACCCTTAAAAATACCAAAACTGCCATCTATAAAAAATAACACAAAATTTCAAGCGACAGAAGTATTTTTAATTTTTAATTTTTCTTTTCTTCACCTCATCAAACAACATGTCTATATACCATCAGTTACTCAACAACCACTAATTCAATAAAAAATTCTATTGCCTTAGCTATTTCCTTTCTCCAACTTTCGTTGTTCGTTTTATTTGATTTAATTTTGCACATTTGTGAGTCTGGACAAAGGTGGGGAGGGGCTTGTGGGCAGTGCAGTGCAGGCAAGGCCTGATTCACTTGCTTCAGGCAGATGGGGCTGAGCACCAGGTTGGGCCTGGCACACCGGAAAAGCTCAAAAAGGAAGACAGAAAAGCCTTTCACACTCACGGCATGTTTGTGGGCTGGGCAGGAGAGCTTTGCAAACCCAAAAGCAAGGGCCACTGCAAAATGGAACTCCACAGCAAAATGGGACACTCTCACTCACCCACCCACACACACAAACCCAAGCAATCAGTCTTCTCCGCAACTCCCCTCCTCCTTCGCCCTGCTTGCTAGCTTGCTGCAGTAGCCTGGAACTCCGAGTTTTTTTCACTTTTGCAATCTCGTGCTTGACTGACTGGGTGCTCTTTAGTCCACACTGTTGTTGAATGTGCACACATTCTCAATCTACCACATCGTGACGGCGGCGACGATGACCTCAGAATAGTGACCCCTTCCCCCCCCCCCCCCCCCCTTTTATTTATTTATTTACTTTTCAGGAGGCAGGGAAACTCCGTCCTCCTGCTGGGTCAGTGGGCAGGTGCTAAAATGCCAAGCTGTCGGAGTCCATGCATAGCTCCCGAAAGCTTGCCGAGGAGACGGGAATGATGGTCAGCTGAAGTCCTTCGTCAGGCGCACCAACTGCAGCCACGACAACGACAAGGAATGCGAGAGAAAGAGACTCAGTGTGAGAGAGAAGCTGAGAGGCTCACGAAGGTGGTTGACGGACATGCATGTGGTGTGAAAGTATAACCCCCCACCCCACCCCACCCCAAGTAGGCTTTCTGCTGTGCTTGCCAAGGACACTGAGAAGCATGGCTCACCAGATTACGGATGCGGAGGAGGGTGATCGCCTCCCCCCTCTTCGGATCATTCCAGATTCCTGGAGCCTGAGTGTGTGCTCACTGTCACTTTTGGGTGGCAACTCCTCACAAAGAAAACGAAATGGAAACAGAAGTTTATGTTTTTGTCTTTGAATCATATGTTGAATAATCTGAAATCTAGCAATTCATTTTGCTCTTTTTGAATACATTAAGTGAAAAGAAACTGAGGTTTTTATTATCCAGGCAACATTAGTTGTATGTTGATGATAGAAGTGTTTCATCTCGTTTGTCACCCAATAGTTTGTATACAAAAGATCACATCAATATCATTTACCAACACACATGTATACATAATTGCCTGATGTAGCAGTGGAATAGCTTACTACAGTTGTGGACCACAGCGAAGTTTCACCCACAACACTCGTTGTCCTATTAGGTGTAAGTATTTGGTGTAGAATATATGCTTGTATATATTGGAAAAAAAACCAAATGCTGAATGAGTGGGATGGCCGCTGCACAAGCACATGGCAAAAGACAATTTTTTTCCGCTGACAACAAACAAAAAATCATTGGATTCTAGAAGTTGCAGGTAAAGTAAACTTAGCATGAAAAAGTGAAGTGGATATTCGTCAATGCCTTAATTCATGAAAAGTGCACGAGGAAATAATTTCTTCGTACTCTGCATCAAGCCACACCTGCTTTGTTCATTAGCTTTTCAGTCTCGAAAATGCCCCTGTTGATCTACACGAGACTAGAACTTCATTCAAATAGGCAGAAAAGCTTCTACAGACGGTGTCCTTCCTCAGGCTTCTTTCCAACATGAGAAGCACTCTAAAGGCCCATCCTCTGAGGGGTGGAGGTGGGAAAATCTTCAGGTCAAGGTTCAAGTATTTGTCCAGGTCTGAAGTGAATGCAACACACAACAATAGCTCCCAACATTGCCTTACATCAGACCTACTCTGCTTTGTTGATGATCCCTAGGCAATTAAGATAACAGAAAGAAATGAAAAACAAAAAACGAAAGAAAAATGATTGCCCGTACTTCTCAATTTCCTAAGACCAGGCTCTACAGTTTGGCACATCTAACTTATTTCTTTGAGCTTCAAAATCACCGAAGAAAAAACCTTGTCTATGCACAAATAGTGATGTAAGCATTACCACCCTGAAATATGTAAGGCATTTGATTGATAGAACTTGACGTGCTAGACTTTGAATCATGTGATTCGGTTGTGAAGTTTGAACGTCTCTGCATGAAAGTTTGCAAATCCTCAAGTACTAACAGGATCACCAATAGCCTAGGAATCTTTGAGATTGTATTCAATACTAGATCTTGTTGCATAAATTGCCACATAGACCCGCTCCTGATAAATCCTACCCATTCCTAATCCTTCATTCCAAAGTTCAATCCAAACTGTTTGTAAAGTAGAGTACAACTATGGAAGAAGGAGAAATCCACTAGGGTATCCCCTTCTACAAGGCTTCCAACAGCCCCCGGAGAATATTTGATGCTTACCTGATTAGTAAGGAATTCATTCCGAAACAGTTCTCATTCTTGTTAAAAATGCTCCCTCTTTCAATATTCATGCAAAGCTGGCATGGACAGGTAAGCCCGTCGACGTGGGGATAGTGGATACAGGACAGACACTGATCATTTTGTCGTGCACAAGACCTCTCTTTCATGTAGGCATCCTGAGGACCTTGGCCCAGGAGAACATTTAGGACGTCGAGACCCACCATGCCAGTGAAGGCCAGAGGCTACTCAAATCTGCGGTGGCAAATTTTGAAGTGTTCCCCAGTAGCTTCTCTGTTATCCAGAAATAAATGGGGGTCTGGTCGAAATGAACTCATTCCAATTCACCCTCCAAATGATTGTATTCCTCCCAGTGCTTCTTGCTTTCATCATGGAGGGGGGGGCTTTCCAATCTTGCGCAAGTGCAGGAATATTGAATGTACCTGGCGCAGCGCAGTTCAACTGTGTTCAACTCAACGCAGGGTTTACTCGATGTGTCAGACAAGCAACAAGCTGCAAAATGAATGTCTCTGTGTAATTAGCAAATGACAATCCTGATTCCTGGCAGCAACTTGGATAAGCCAAGTCAGGTGCCTCTTATTTTAGGGTGAGGATCAAGCAACTATTATACGAATCGAGGAGATGGGCAGAGGTGAAGCAGGTGAGAAGAGTTGCATGACGCACAAGACCTTCAAACTGGAAACTATACATTCGTCCATATCATATTCCATTGATCACAAATGACGTAACCAAAAGACATAGCCAATGCTGTGTGTCTTCAAAACCATGTCCGATTGTACAGAGCGTCGTGCAACAAGGTGTTCTGTTAAAAATACCCTGTCGACACCCTCATATCCGGACGAGTCCAGATATCAATCTCAGACAAAACAGATCTACAACTAATCTATATATGTACCAATGCCTCGAATAATAAATCATTCTCTTGTGCACATTCCTGTGTGCATGATCCATGGTCTATTGTTTATGTATGTTATTTTGTTATCTTCTATTTGCCAAATGTAAGCATTCTTTCATGGTATCAGAGCTCGTCTAGATCCTCATAGCATTTAGGACATATCTTTGTTGAATGTCCCATATTCTATGTATCAAAAGCTGTGATTTATTCAGCTCTTAACTAAGACACTAGAATTGCTCTCCCCATGGCTTCTGGCACATTCTAGGTTTCAAAAAAATGTTATTCATCTGGTTTTTGTAACAGAGTTGGATGAAAAGTGTTATGGATGAGTATTATTGAACATAGTTTAGATGAAAAGTGGATATATTTTTGTGGATGAAAACTTGGATGATTTGCCTACTACTGGAGCTCCATTGCTACTGGAATGCTATTAAAGCCAAGAAGTTATTGTAGCCCTACTGAAGCTTTGCTGGAGTTGCTAGAGCTATATTGGAGCCTTGCTAGAGTTGCTGGAGCTAGAGCTATATTGGAGCATTGCTAGAGTTGTTGGAGCCTTGTTGGAGTTGCTAGAGCTACTAGAGCTAGAATTTAATTCTATTCGTGTGGCGATTTTTATTTAATTAAATTCTATTTATTGCTAGTTTCAAATATAAGTTTTTTTTTTTTTTTTTTTTTTTTTTTGCTCCAATATAGCTTGGTGCAACTACTACTCCCCAAATATTATATTTTATAAATCATTTATTAATTTTTCTCTTATAATTATTTGTTGCTATTGCATTAACTATATTTGGCAATAGCATCTTCAATGGATCATCACATTAATTGATTAGATAAAAAACCATGGCACATGGATATTTGTTATGAAATACTTGATGTACATTTGCAAGCTCTACATGAATGTAGATGGGACATTAAAATGTTCTATAAATATTGATAAAAAATTAAAATGGAAATTACGCAAAGAAAAAGCATAAGCATTGATCACACTCAATATTAAGCCTTTGCAATTAACTTATATATGCAAATATAATATTGCAAAAGAGATGTAGGATATATTGGCTAAGATATACAAGCCCTCAATGATTATTGCTGAGATATTTTTAATGAAGAAATTGTATAATCTTTGATATGTGGATTGAGAATCTATGGAGAGTTTTCTTAGAGAGATTTTTGATCTTAAGAATGAATACATTGAAGCTAGTAATAAAATAGACAAATAAAGCATGACATTTCGTATACTTATTGCATTATCATAATCTTGGGATCCACTTATTTAATTGATTGCATTAAGAAAAAGAGAAGAAATTACAAAAGAAATAGTAGAATCTATTCTTTTTTAAAAAGGAGATACAAAAGACTAGTTTTCTATTTTTTGCTTTAGCAATGTATGTCTTAAAGAAGTACCATCCATAACAAAAATAGAAACAAGTCTTAAAGAAGTACCATCCATAACAAAAATAGAAACCTAAGATTAATAAGTCTGGAAGTATTTTATGCAAGAAAAGTTATAAATTTAACTTGGATGTTAATGGAGTTGATTAAATTCTATCTTTGAAAGACTTATTCATACAAAGCACACTAGCAAGTAAAGCTTATCTTATGCCTTGTGAAATTGAAGAAGTTGCCACAATTTCTAAATCATCTATTTCAATTCAAATACTTATTGAATGGCATCAAGCATTAATACATGCTTCAATACATACAATAAGAGAGGCAAAGTGGATGAATTATATTAAAGTATTAAAGTTTAAGAAAGTGAAGAATAAAATACCTATATGTGAGTCATGCATTGTTGGCAAGGCTTATAGGCAAACCTTTTTCTTCTAAGCATAAGCATGCCAATGATATTGTAGATATAATAGTGTTTGACCTTGATTATTTCGATATGATTAGCTTTGGTAGCACCAAATGTTTAGTTGTGTAGATTGATGAATATTTTGGCTATTATAGCTTTATATTTCTTTAAACTAAGGACCAAATATATGTTGCTTATAAGACTTAGGAAGCAAAGGCACAAACAAGAAATAGAAAGAAGGTAAAAACTTTTTTCATTGATCAAGACACTAAATTCTTGAATAGTGATTTTGGTTCTCACTTCAAAACTGAAGGTATTTGGTACATGATCATTCTTTCATATATATATATATATATATATAATTTTTGGCATGGCATAGCATATGATGTAGACTATTTTTGAAAGTGTATGAACACTTCTAGACAATGACAAGTTGGATCATTAGTATTGAACATTTGCAACAAAATTTGTGACTTGAACTTACAATTGCCTTCCATTTATAAGACTCGGTGGTAAGACACCACATGAAGTTTTTTATAATGAAAAAATTTTTCTTCAAAATTTTCATTGCTTTGGTTTTCTTACTTGGTATCTCATACCAAAGAAAAAATGTCAAAATTCAATGCAAAGGTAAGCAAGGATATTTTTGCTAGATATTCAGAAGTAGCAAAAGGATATGAAATTTTTCTACTTGAAGAAAAAAAAGTGATCCTTAGTTAAGATGTGATTATTTTTGATAACAAGGATAAATTACTTGGTGAGCCATTAATTCCTTAAGAAAAAATTTAAAAAGATATTGATCATAGAAGTAATCTTAATATACTAGATTTTCAACATCTAAATGAATTGAAAATATCTCAACATCAAGCTTCAAGATTATATGTATATGATGGATTGGATGGAAAAATGGTTGAAGAGGAAGTAAATCCTATACTAGAAGAAATAGTGGAATTCCATCAAATAGAAGTGGAAGGAATTATTTAAGCTCTACAACTAAGATGCTATTATATAGGTGGTATTAATTTGACAAATATTATAAGTAATAGTAGGATGTGTTATACTCCTTGGAAAAAAGACAAAAAATATATTTGAAGAGATTATGACTTATCAATTAAAACAATGGATGTGATTAATATTGATGAATATATAGAACTAGAAACTATTGAACAAGCTATGAATTCATCTTTTTGTAAAGAGTGGAGTCATGCCATGAAGGAAGAACTGATTCTTTGAAAGATTATGATACATGGAAATTTTTATTTTTATCCAATAGTAAAAAGGTTATGGATTTAAAATGTACTTTTAAGAAAAAAACTTGCTAGCAATGACTCTATTGAATGTTTTAAAGCATGATTGGTTGCAAAGGATTTTATTCAAATAAATGATCTTAATTACCAAGAAAGTTTTGCATTAGTTGCTTGCCTTACAATAATTCATATATTTGTTGCAATTGCCACTATTCTTAATTGGAATATATTACAACTTGATATTGTTTCAGCTTATTTAAATGACAAACTTAAAAATGAGGAAATTTATATGAAAATTCCAAAAAGTTTGGAAGTTCTATTGGAACACAAAGGCAAGGTATTGTGATTGCTAAAGAATTTATATAGTTTGAAGCAATTTGGACATGGATGGAATAAGAATTTAGATAAATCTTTATTGAATCTTTGTCGAAGTTTAGAATCAAATCTTTATTTGTACACAATGTACTTTGAGGGACTAATTCTTGCATTAATTATCTATGTCAATGACGTACTTATTAGTGGCTAGAACTTTAAGATCCTTATGAAATGTAAGGATGAATTGCAATAGTGCTACAAGATAAAAGACCTTAGTGAACTTAGTGATTTTTTTTACATTGATTTTTTGCAAGATAAAAAAATTGTACTATTAATTTGAGTCAAATTAAGTATATTTATCAAAAGTTGGAGGAATTTGAGATAAAAGATGGAAAGACAGTTGCTACACCAATGGTATGAAGTCATGTCACTAAGCATGAGAATGATGATCTTTTGGATGTAGAAGATGTAAAGTTTTATTAAGAAGCTTTAAGTTTATTATTGTACTTTACAAATGGTACAAGGTATGACATTGCATTTGCTTGTCAATACTTTATTCAATACATGGCACATCTATATGTTTTGCATTGGTAAGGAATTATAAGAATATTTTATTACTTATAAAGAAAAAAATATTTGGTATTGCAATATAGTGGAAAAGAAGCAAATTTGCAACTTGTAGGCTATAGTGATACAGATGGAGTAAGTTGTGTGGAGATGCACCATTCAATAGGAGGTTATGTATTTATCTTGGATGAGACAATTATTACTTAGTCAAGCAAGAAGCAATCTTTAATTTCTCTTTCATCCATAGAAGCAAAGTATGCAACTTTAACTATTGCAATAAGAAAGACCTTATGACTTTGTAAAATACTTAAGAATTATGACATTCATAAATTGGAAAAGATTTTTACTTGTAAAGATAACCAAAATGCTATTGTTATTGCCAAGAATCTAATACACCATGGCCATACAAAGCATTGAGAAATAGGACATCATTTTATTGAACAATGTGTAGAAAAAAGACAAATTGATTTGAAATATTGTTCTATGGAGAAAATGGCAACAAACATCTTCAAAAAAACCTTTTCCTAGAGATAAGTTTTTAACTTTTAAATATATGTTAGATCTTGTTTCAATAAAGAATTAAGTCCCCCTTAAATAGAGTGTTGAATGTTCCAATTCTATGTACAAAAAGTTGTGACTTATCCAACTCGTAACTGAGACATTGGAAGTGCTCTCGCCTTGGCTTCCGGCACATTCTCCTTCACAAGAGAATGTTGTTCATCCAATTTTTGTAACAGCATTGTTTTTTGTTTACTAGTCCTACTGTCCCCTTTCACCATGTCAAAAGATAGCACTATTTTTGATGAAGTCAAGCTAGCATTGAATTTCCATCTCTGGAAATATATGATCACCAGAATCGCTAAGCAAGACAAGCTCTGAGATATTCTGTCACCAACCACTAGTACCTCCACAAAACCAGAAACTGATCGAGACGAATCAAGTAAGGATAAGCAAGAACGGCTTATGTACAACTTAACCATATCTATCCGACCAAACCTTCTTGTTCTCACTAACTTCCAGGAACCGAAGGCCCTATGGGATTCTCTGCAAAGATCCTTCAAAAACGCAAACGACAACAGGAAGTTCGATCTCAAAAATTGCCTCGATCTGATCATGCTCTCGGAAGAACTAGGTGTTGAGAACTATTTCTCTTAGTTCCACCAGATCCTTGCAGAACTTTCGACCATTGGTGTTCGCATTAACGATCCAGATCTGGTACAAGTAGTGGTGAAGAATTACCCGACTCATTCGACTACTTTCTAAATTACTACACCAGCAATGGAGGATACCCCACTCTGGATCAGTTACAGTTTCAATTAATGCTTGAAGAAAGCCGACGTCAAACCAGATCGAGGCTCAAACCAGCGACCACCGAGGCACTCTACTTCCATGGAAACCGAAACTATACACATTACAATCGAGACATGAAGGGATCCAACGTTGTTCCTTCCAAATTTAGCACCACTCACTACACCACATAGGGACATGAAAACAACATGTCCCAAATCCAGCTTAGACAATGTCACTACTGCGGAAAGCTCCGACAACTTAAGCACATGTGCCCTAAATGCCTGGTAGACATCCGAAAACTTAAATCTGAAGGAATGATCAAACTCGGCATCAGACCTCCCTCAATAAATTTCGCTCAAGAAGAACTCGAGTGGCCAAATCCACAAGATCTCTCAATCAACACCCCATTCATCGCTAACGAGTTAAATAAAGAGGTCTTCGAAGTAGCCATCCCGTCGCTGAACACTTATCATTTTGACTTCAACTAGTATCCCGACAGCGGAGCCACTCAGTATGTGACCGGCGACCTACAGAGCTTTGATAGCATAGAAAACTTCAACGAAACTGTTAAAACCGCCGCTGGTCAAAATCATCCAATTACCAGTAGGGACAGTGTTCACTTTAAACTCCCACCAGGTTAAATTCCCGGGGTTCTCTACGTACCAAGTCTATCGAAGAATCTTTTATCAATCGGGTCCTTTACAGATCGCATCATAGCATGCTTCGGCAATCAAAAGTGCATTCTGTACAACAAAGATCACAAGAAGATCGTAGCAGAAGGATTTCACAGCAACGAAAATAGTTTATATCAACTCTCATCCCGTCCACCAGATCTCGCGATGAATATAACCAGCATCGACCTACACACAATCAGACTGTGGCATCACCACCTCGGGCACCTTAGTTTCGCTCGCCTTCACGAGCTCGCATCAAACAACATGGTTATCGGACTCTCCTATATCCCGGTTCATTCAAAAACTTGCGAAGCATGTATCAAGGGAAAACAAACACAAGCAAGCCTACCAAAAATCAGCACGTCACCAGTACCCAACGCACTGGATCTTCTACACCTCGACCTTTGCGGCCCCTTCCCCGTGACCTCTCAGGCGGATCCAACGATATGTTCGTTACTGTAGATGATTTTAGCTGCTATATCTGGACTTTCTTCTTATGCCTAAAGTCTCAAGCCTTCGAACGATTTTACTTATTCAAGAACATGGTCGAGGTCCAATACAACCGCAAGATCAAATGTATTTGGAGCAACCAGGGAGGAGAATTTCTTTTCCACCAATTTGCTGATCTTTGTGCATCCACAGGCATAAGAGAAGAACTCACCAACGCGGCTACCCCAGAACAAAATGGGATAGTCGAACGCGCCAATCGCAAGCTACTCAATGTCGGACGCAGTATGACTGTTAGAGAGATCTCACAATCGCACTCATTGACACCCCGGCTCAAAACCAGTAAAAGTCCTGCAACTAACTTCAACTCCCCTTTACAACTTAGCCCACCAGCTCCACAGTCACCAGAGAATACTCTACCCGACAGCCGCTCTAGATGAAACATGACGCCTCAGGATACAGCATTCACGGAGGAAACTTAAAACACACCGTCCGGTGATCTACACAACTCAATCAACCGTCTGGGGGAAGAACTCACTGACATGCCAATCCAGAGCTCACAAATCCATTCGCTACCAACAACTCACGACTGTCCACATTAGAATCCTCTAATCCAACCCCAACACAGCAATATCCTTGGCGCCAACGCCCTGCTCAAATAAAAGAACCTCCATTGCGGCTCAAAGACAGTGTCACCTACTCTGTGGCGCCCTCAAAAATCCTCATTCCGTAAATATCAAGTGATTCTTTGACATTACGGAGGAACCAGCCAATCCCATTACTTTCACTAACGCCAACTCAAGCTCCAAATAGCGGGCCACAATAAAACAAGAGCAAGTTTCGATTATCAAAAATCAAACATGGGAGCTATGCGAGCTCCTATCCGGAGCATTCATCGTAACTGCCAAGTGGGTATATAAAATTAAAAAAGAAGCGAACGGCTTACCATGCAAACTCAAAGCCTGTCTTGTAGCTCGAGGCTTTCAGCAAATCAAAGGGATCGACTACGACGAGGTATTCGCCCCCGTTGCAAAATGGAAAGCCGTGCGTCTCACTGTCTCACTAGCAGCAAGTTACAATTGGCCCTTGCTCGACCTTGATGTCAGATCTGCCTTTCTCAATGGCGACCTAAAAGAAACAATGTACATGGAAGTTCTGGACAATTTCTGCGATTCCACGACAGGAACAAAAGTTTGCTGCCTAAAAAATTCTCTATTTGGATTAAAACAGGCTCCGCGCGTGTGGTTTGAAAAAATTAACACCTTCTTCTCCACGGATTCTCAAGTACAGAATTTGACTACAACCTATATTATCTTTGGGATTCAGGTGAAGTTATACTGCTCATACTATATGTTGACAATCTATTGCTCACAGGATCAGACAGGAACAAGATTTCTCAGATCAAAACTCAACTCATGCAAAAGTTTAAAATGACAGACCTGGAAAAAAATCAGCTTCTACCTGGGAGTGGAATTTGTATTCCAAATGCATGGCATCCTCCTATCCCAAAAGGCCTACGCATTGCAAATCCTGAAAGAATTCGGAATGGAGGAATGTGCTCCATCTTCAATACCCATGGTCGAGGGACGTCATCTGGATAGAGAAGAAAGCTCCCCGTAGGTCGACGCAAAACGATTTCAAAAATTAATTGGTATGTTGATTCACCTAGTGAACACAAGGACGAAAAACTTGTTTGCAACTGGTACACTAAGCCGCTTCATGCACAGTCCCCTCACTCCATACCTGCAAGCAGCCAACAAGATTTTATGGTACATTAAAGAGTCAATAGATCTCGACATCTTCTATCAGATAAATCATAGTCCAACCATATTAAGCTTCACCGACTTCGATTGGGCAAATTGCAAATTGATAGAAAGTCAATCATCAGCTGGGTTTTTAAATCAGCAAGAGGTCCTATATCCTGGGCCTCAAAGAAATAAGGTACGGTGGTTGTCTCGTCAATAGTAGAGTTATTTTACATTCAGACCTAAGACCAGTTGGCTAACATCCTCACCAAGACCATAAAAAAAACAGAGATTTATTAAACTACGTCACAAACTAGGCATCTAGAACTTGAATCCATTAGACAACAACTAATGGACCCAATACTTCCTAGAAATCCTAGGCTTGAGACACAAATCCTTCCGCCTCAGCTAATACCCTAAACAATTTGTACTTGGCTCCCTTAAATCCTATCATCTGTCCCTCACACTCTGTCCAATTTAAGTAAACACCAGATCTGCGACCTTGATGCACCATGTAATATCTGCTCAACCTCCGCGTAATTTCCAAACCTTGGTACTTTGAAGACAAGCATCCAACCACTCCATGGATTTGAACAATCTCCAAAGACAATCAAAGCCAGCAAAAAATAAAATCAAAGCTCCACCAACACACCCGACGGAGTATAATAGCAAAACACCAGAGCCAGAGTAAGAGTATCTGAGTCTGCAAACAACAAATGAAGAAAATTATGATTACCCACATTTGAGAAAAAAGAAAAAGATTGATCTGAAACTACGAAAGACTCATGCACTAGCAGCAGCCGATTGATGTCTCTAACAATACCGTCCTCTGACACACCATCTTATTGACAACACCTGTCTCCACGCTTCTCACATCTCTTCACCATCATGTTGATTTAGGGACACTCATCATTTCTTCTCTTCCTTAGCATTATAAGCACTGAAATGAATCTTTCACTTGGATATTATGAAGATATCCAAGTGAATGGGCGTGTTAGAAATAGCCTATCGACACCCTAATATTCAGACGAGTCCAGATATCAATCTCCAACAAAATAGATCTACAACTAATCCAGTATATGAACCAATGCCTTGAATAATAAATCATTCTCTTGTGTGCATTCTTGTTCGCCTGATCCATGGTCTATTATTTATGTATATTATTTTATTATCTTCTATTTGCAAAATGTCAGTGTTCTTTGATGTTTGATAATGTAGATAATTTTTTGCTTCACCATGATCCCAATCCCCACACAGACAGACACCTAATTAGATCTGCAAACATTTGTAAGAGATGCTACTTGCAGCAAGCGAAAAGTAGATCCCTATAAACACTTACCACAGTTGTGAACCCCATCCTTCAGCAGCAATCTCACCGCTGATTGAATTGCCTCCTTCACAGCCTCCACCTTCAAACATAATACCAGCACCGAGTGTCCACAACTTGGAGATCCAACCCACCTCACAGAAGTATAATAAACCTCGATTTGGACGCGGCATAACCATTGCAAACTAAGGTTCCTAGCATAGGGCCTCGAAACCACTGCCTCAAAGCCCTAAAACTGTACAAAAGAGAGCCATCATAGCCACACGGATCCATGGAGGTCTCAAATCCAAAAGCCAGAAAACAGCATTCCAGGATTTTGGGATATTGGGGATGAAACCAATCAATGTGATGCAAAAAACACGCAATGCAGCATCGACATCTACATTGAGCATGAACAATACATGCTGCGAAACAACGATGTTATTATCGACAATAACAACAGCACAAACTGAGGTTTAGCATAAAGAAGGCATATGTGTGTACATGAATATTGCTATCTGTTGGATGTGTCCTAATACACATGGCCTCAATTACTTACCAAAGAAAGCAATTTTAACTTTCAGTTTGATTTTGGACAACGGAGTCTAGAGTTGGTCTTGGTGTTTCAATTTGCTAGCAGTGAATGAAATAAGCAAGAAGACTAAGTTTATTTGATATGTATATATGTAAAGATTGTAGTGTGTTTTTTTTTTGAGTGGATCTATCTAAAGCATTAAAGTTACCTTAAAGAAAAATTGTAATTTATATATTGTGAGTATATATTAAAGCAATAGTGCAACTGAAAAGATCCTAACAATAGTTAATTGTATGTATCATGTTAAAAAGCATTTATGATTTGTTGACTGTCCATTACATACAAAAGATTGGAGTGTTTAAAGTACCTTCTAGAGCCACTCTATAGAAAGAGCAAGCAATGAGTATTATAATTCTATCATTATAATTAGAAAGACATCCAAGCAAGATGGATCTTTTTTTCATTGGCAATTTTGTTCCATAAGAATATATACAAAAGCAAAAATTAAACATTTGTAGATATTTCAACAAAATCACCTAAGTTTGTAGAATTGACAAAAACCACTTAAGTAGCTATAGAATTAGAACAAAGCAAATTATCTTTTTATTTGAACTTAATGAAAAAGTTTATCAATTTGAGGACAAAGAAGGGCCTTGAACTTCTAATGTCTTTTCAAAATAGTAAACAACTAATAGAATCATCAACCCTATAAAACCTAATGATTTATAATAAGATCCTTATTAAACTAGAGCCAACATTTCTTCTAATCAATTGCTTTAAGTAACAAAAACCATAAAAAAAAGATCTTAAAGAAGGAATTAGAGAATAGAGTAAACCAAGAAGAAAGAAGGAGTAACTAAAGTTGAAAATATAGAAGAACATACAATAATAGAAGAAAAATTAAAAATATTGACTCATTAAGATAAATGTGGAAATTATAGATAAAATAATTTCTAAGGTCATAATAGATGATAGAAGTAGTATCAATATTATGTTTGAATCCACTATGAATAAGATGGAATTAAAAAACATTCTTAAGATAATTTTAATGGTAACATTAACTGATCAAAGACCTTCTCAATGTCTAGTTTAAATTTGTGATCTTTACATATGAGTAAAAGATGTAAATTATGCAATATCATTTTATGTGATACATTTATATAAAGAATCTAATTACTATCTTCTTTTGTTAGAAAGACAATGGTTGATTCAATCTAAAGAATAACCAAATAAAGGCTTTTTAAGCTTTACTTTACTTTTCAATTTATAGACAATTATACAACAACCATAGTGCTTAGCCATATTAGACTCCAAGTCTTGGTTTTATTAAAAAATACACCATCAAGTAAAAAATCCAATTGAATTAGTTCTATCTAATCTAATCTAATTTCTATTATTACTTTAATAAAATGTATTACTTTTAGACTTTATAAATACAAAGATGAAGATAATTTTATCAAATAATAAATAAAAATCTATACAAAGAAGAAGACATTTATATTTAATCTATAGATGTAATAAATTGGTTGGAATTTGATGATATTTTTTTGGATCTTATAACCTTGATAGATGGTATTTGTATAAATGTAGTCTTTAGCTTAGAAATTGATAGAATTCAAGTTGAAAACTTTGCCACTATTATAAAAGAAGAAACCATTATAATCTTTTTATAATTTTTATATACTTTAAAATATTGAATTTGGACATGATATATCTATTTATACACCAATACTTAAAAATTGGTACTAGAAACCAATTCATCCAATATGTGTAATAGAAGAAGTTTAGATTAAAATTTTGGTCAACCATGATGAAGAAAAATATAAAATATATCAAGTTTAAATTCCAATTAAATGAAAGAAAATTTAAGAAATATAAATACTTAGAAAAGGAATGTTATAATATATTTTTGTGGTCTAATTAAAATTTAAAAAATATTCTTTTTAGTATTTTTTAAAAAACTCTTTTTCTTTTATTAAAAATTATATTATTTTTATTTTTATTTTTATTTCTAATATATTTAATAGAAGCCATCTATCTTAAAAAATTTAAAGTCTAATCCTTATGCATTGATATTGATAAAAGATTATATTTTCTCTAAAATTTGGAAAATTAATTAAAGTATTTAAAAATGCTACATAGAAGTCAAGAATTTGCAATCCTACATATAAATGTTGGATATGTCTTGTATTCTATGTTACAAAGTTGAAGACTATTATACTTATTTTCCTACAAGATTTGAAATATGGTATAATCCTAAAAAAAATATAATTATTATATATAGCATTTTAGGATTCTAAAGATGAAAAAGCCTATGTCAAAGTTTTGAGGTAGTCCTTGGACACTGAGCATGTAGCTTGAAGATTGAATAATGTGTAGTTTTGAGTAAAGTAGACTTTGAAGAAAGTTTTCCTATGGATGTAACTTCTACACAAAAATGAACTACATATCTCTGGTGTACTTGATTCCTTATGTGAGTATCAAATTCAATGTGGATTGAATCCTATATTTCCAACAATAAAAATCTTTTATTACAACAAAAAGAGATTTTTGATAAAATATTAAAAAACATCTTCTTATTCCAAAGATTAAGGTGATGGTCTAAGATGCTAAAAAATTAGATTTTTTAGCTAAATTTAATAGTCTTTGGACATAACCATATATTATTAAAAATTATTTTATAATAATTTAGACTAATTCAAAATATTAGACAATAAATATTTTTTATGCAAATTAATAGAAGTCATTGTAAAGAATATAAAGTTTGAACATTGATTACAACACCAATATACTTAGTCATTTTTATAGTGGTTCCAAAAAAAATCGATAGATTACTTTTATTCTTATTATATTATGATATTAGATTTAAGGCATACACAAAAAATAGTGTTAAATACTCTTTAAAGATAAGTACTATTTAATATTGAGTTAGTGAAGTAAGAAAAAAGTTGCTCCATATAGATACATATTGAATTAAACCCAATTAATTTTTATTTTATTTTATTTTATTTTTATAATTTCTTACTCATAATTATTGTAATTTTTTATTATTATATTCTTTCTAATATAATATGTTATCAATTTTTATTTTTATTTATTTTTATTTTTTCTAAATTTTATAAAAAAGAATAAGATTTACTCTATTCTTACAAATAGTCTTAGATGGTTATTATATATAAATCCCATTAATACATCATAATTGGTGAAATTATTAAATATATTATTTTAAATTATTTATATTTAAAAATATTAAGATCAAATATTCTATTTTATTATTTAAGTATTTATTAGAATTAAAAAGGATTTATAAATTACCAATGTCATATTAGAAAAAAAGTCATAAAAATGGAGTCTTGATGACTCTTGAAAGCAATTATCTTAGTTGATTTAGTATTTTTTCATAATGGTGAGAAGTAGTATTTATTTTTTGAGAAAATATCTTAATTTACTTACTATTTATATGTATTACTTATTCAAAACCGATAAATATTAGTTGGAAGGTAGAAGAAGCATGAGAAAGAACCTCATATTTTTTAAGTTATTTATATAGAAAATATAATTTTTGTTTATTTTAATTGATTCTATTACTGTAATAAATCACCAAAGTAGAAAAAAATAGCCTTAAATTTATATTATTATAAAAATAAATTTTATAGTTATTTTTATAATTTATTTATAATTATTAAAGAAATTCTAGAGCATATTTTTAAAACTTTGATAAAATAAATTTATCACCTTAGAAGACTATTATGAAGAATTTGAGCAAGATTTGATGGCCTTGCAAGGTTTATAGCTTTGGTAAATTTTCATAAGACCATGATGAAGTCAAAAATGTAAAAAAAAGTGATTTTACTAGTATAAAATAAAAGGACCAACAGCTAGTAAAGCAATGATAGAAAGAGAGTTACACATGCTCCATGTGGATTGTAGCACCTTAGATGTAGATAGGAGGATAAGATTAAGGCCTTGTGGCATCATTAAGAGACTCATATATACTACTTATAAGCCTTAGTAAGGTTCAAATCTTTAATTTCTTAAATAAGTTATTCTTAAGGTAAACATATTTAAAGAATTTTATTTTTTATGTTTAATATTTTATTTATCAAAAATTATTCATGATAAATAAGGTTTTAGTGTTTTTTTATTTTTATATTAAAATATTTTAAATATAAAATTATATATTTTTTATTTTAATTTATTTTTTATTAAGTAAAAGTCTAATAAATAGATTAATAATAAACTTATTAATTTTAGAAGTTAATAATTGTTTGATTGATTTTTTTTATATATTATATTATTTTATTTTAATTTGTTTTTTTATTGATGTATCTTTTAATTCAAATAAGTAATTTACATATATATTAGTAAAATATATATTTATAATATATACTTATTTTAATAAAAAAAATATTTGAAAAGCTTATATATACTTGTATGTATTTATAAAGAAAAAAACTTAAACCTCAATTTATAATGAGTTCATTTAGGTAAACAAATTATTTTTAATAATTTTAATGAAAAGGTTGAAGTAATTTAAATAAATTTAAATTTAAATTACTTAAACAAAAAAACAAAAAACATTTTACATTTTAAATTTAAATTATTTAAACAAAAAACAAAAAACATCAAGGACTCAAAAACGAGCAGCTGCTGTTAGGTGATGTGCACATCACCGAAACTTTTACTTTTACTTTTTTAAACTTTTTTAAACTTTTTTTTGTCCAACAATTTTTCATCCGCTGTGATTTTTCATCCGCTACGATTTTTCATCCACTGCGCGATTTTTCATCCACTGCGTTTTTTCATCCGCTGCATGGTTTTTATCCGCTGCGCGATTTTTCATCCACTGTGGATGAAACTGTATTTTGGGCAGAATTCATTTAACAGTGAGTTAATATCTCCCAAAATACTAATTATTTTTGAATTCCGACTTCGGATTTGGACTTTTTAGGTGTATTTTCATTTAGCAGGAAAGAAAATGATTTGTGACAAAAGTTTTCAAAAATCGACATTTTTAAGTGTTTTCAAAAAAAAAAAAATTTAGAGTCTAAACTTTGGAGGTAGAGTATGGCTTGAGAATATGTTCATCACATTTGTTTTCATGCATGTTTTTTGTGTGTTAGATCAATACCTCTTGGCTACGAATGTGTTGCAAAGCAAGCGCCAACCTAATCTATTTTTTTTCTTTGAAGTGTAGTGCATTGAACGTAAACTTTTTAGAGTGGAGTGAAATTTCATCAAAAGGTGCAACTTTCTTGGAGCACAAGCTTACAAAGGTACTATCAAAAACCTTACTTTTGTGAGTTTTGAAATGGTTTGGGATTCACGTTAGGATTTTTGTTATCCTACATTAAACTCTGCTTTTTCTTATCAATTTTTTCAATCTTTGTGGAGTTTAGGATTTAGGGTAGGATTTCTTCTATCCTATACTAAATCCTATTTATTGATATATCTTTTTATCTTTGTGGAGTTTAGAATTTATGATAGGGTCTTCATTCTCCTATCCTAAATTCCACTTTTTTTATTATATTGTCATCTTTCTAGAGAATGGCTCGTGCTTTGTCTACCATTGATAATTTTGTAGATGTCAATGTTGATAGTGTTGGATCAATGTGCATCCAATGTCCAAAATGTTTGGCTTTTCGTTTTAAAAAAGAAAAAAATACCATTTGTTGTTACAATGGCAAAATTGCCAATGAACATGTTAATCACCCCATTGTCCATCCAATGCTCAATGAGCTTTATATGGGCACAACACCTAAATCTCGAGACTTCCTTAAATCCATTCGAAAGTATAATCAAACTTTTGCATTTACAAGTATGCGTAGTAAGTTTCAGTCTGGCCAAGTTGAAGGTAGAGGGGTATATACTTTTTGTGTGAACGGAGAGTTATGCCATCACATTGGAAATTTACAACCCGATTTAGACGAAGGTGCTAGATTTGTACAAATTTATTTCTTGGATGATGGTTTACAAACAAATCGTCATATGGAGATTTTTGATGATCTTCATCGTGATGTTGTTAACAACATTCAAGAAGTTTTAGAATCCATAAATGCATTGGTTCGTGGTTTTAAGTCTTTGCGTGATGTTCTTCAAAGGGGACAAAACATGGGACTTCGTATCTCCGGTGAGGTTCCTTTTGGTGAACATCCCCGTCGATATAATCACCAAGTAGTTCCAGAAGTTGCTGCTATTGTTCTTGACGAACAATACATGAATTTTGGTAGAGATATTATTCTTCACCAATGTGGTGGAGATTTAATACAAATAAAAGAAATTCATCCAGCTTACGATGCTTTATCCTATCCTTTGTTGTTTCCTGATGGGCGATGTGGGTGGTCACCAACTTTTAAAGCAGATACTGGAGTGACTTTAAAGTCATATGTCCAATATTTGCTTCAAAAGCGCCCAAAATCTAATGTATTACATAAGGCTGGTAGATTATTCCAGCAATATGTAGTGGATCAGTATTTACGTGTAGAACATGAAAATTTGCTTTTCATTAGGCAACATCAAACTGAACTTCGTGCAGAGTGCTATCAGGGGGTCGTAGATGCTTTGCAGGAAGACAATGGAGCACGCATTGGGCGTCGCATTGTCTTACCTGCAACATTCATTGGTTCCCCCCGATACATGCAAAAACTCTTTCATGATAGTATAGTTTTGGTTAGAGTTTTAGGAAAACCCGATTTGTTTGTGACAATGACATGTAATCCGACCTGGCCTGAGATTCTTGATGAGCTTGAGCCAGGTCAAAGTCCTCCTGATCATCCAGATATTGTTGTGCGTATTTTCGAGCTCAAGTTAAGAGCATTGATGGATGAGATTACGAAGAAGAATGTCATGGGAGAGACAATTGCTTTTTGTTACACTATTGAGTTTCAAAAACGTGGTCTTCCTCATGCACACATTCTTCTTTGGTTGAAAGACAAGGTCAATGACTGTGACCTTGTAGATAGGATAGTATGTGCGGAGATTCCCGATTTAGATAGACAACCGCAATTGTATGCCGCGGTTGCCAAGCACATGATGCATGGACCATGTGGTTTGGACAATCCCAATTGTCCATGCATGGAAGACGATAGATGTACAAAGAACTATCCGATGCAAGCTCGAGATACTACCGAGGTGGATGGTGACGGACATGTTTTGTACCGTCGTCGAAATCAAGGTCGATATATCGAGAAACGTGTACGTGGACAAATTGTCCGTTTAGACAATCGATGGGTTGTGCCATACAATCCATATTTGATAGGTCAGTTTAATTGTCACATTAATGTGGAAATTTGCACTTCTGTAAAAACTGTCAAATACCTCCATAAGTATATTTTTAAAGGTCCAGATCGTGGTGTTGTAGAAACAGATGAAGTAGTAGATGAGATTAAGGATTTCTTGGAGGGTCGTTATGTGGCCGCCCAAGAAGCATGTTGGAGGCTCTTTGGTTTTGAAACTAATAATAAGAGCCATAGTATTTGTCGTTTGCTTGTTCACCTTCCCAGTCAGCAATATGTTACTTTTAAGGAAGGAACATCTTTGCACTCGGTGATTGATCAAAATGCTGAGACTAAACTCACCAAGTTTTTTGAGCTTAATTGCCATATTCGTGCCTTAATTGCTTTTGGCAATCAAGGCAACCATATGCTTCTTCGTTACATGGATCTTCGACTCTATTACAAGTGGGATGTGAAGAATAACATGTGGGAAAGAAGAGTACGTAAGATAAAAGTTTTTGGTCGGATAAACATGGTTTCCATAGGTACCGAAGTATTTTACTTGCGTTTGTTGTTGACTCATGTCGAGGCACCAACTTCATTTGAGGACCTACTTTGTTTTCATGATATAGTGCATCCAACGTACAAGGCCGCTTGTATTACAAGAGGACTTTTACAAGATGATTCTGAATGGAAAAATTGTCTGTAAGAGGCAACTGTCATTGCGTTGCCTAAACAAGTTCGGCGGTTGTTTGCAACACTTCTTGTGTTTGGACAACCGCTAGATCCTCTTAGCTTACTAAAGACACATCTTCATGCTATGTATGATGATTGGCGCAATGATCAAAATCGCTATTGCAAAGCAATTTTGTCCATTGAAGAATATTTGTCATCATCAGACAAACATCTTACAGATTTTTTTAATATCGAAGAATTGAATGAGTTTGGTTATTCAAACATTGTTGATGTTGGCGGTGATTCCAATGACAATATTGATTTTGATAACCAAAACATTACTTTTCTAGAGGAGGATGTAGGTAGGCTCAACGAAGAACAATACATTGTTTTTAATGCGATGACCACTGCCGTTTTAAATTCTGATTCTCTAGATCGGCTTTTCTTTTTAGATGGTCCTGGTAGTACAGGTAAGACCTTTTTGTATAACACCATATTGGGTTATCTTAGTGGTCGTAATGTCAAGTGTATGGCAATGGCAACAAGTGGAATTGCCGCATGCCTTTTGAATGAAGGGCGAATAGCACATTCAACTCTTGCTATTCTTTTACAGTTGCACGATGCATCAATTTGTAACATTAGTGCCCAGTCTACATTAGGTCAAAGCTTACGTGAAGTATAATTGATTGTACTTGATGAAGCTTGTGCTGGGCATCGTTTTATGTTTGAAGCTATAGACAGATCATTGCGAGATATACGCAATATAGATAGTCCAAATGGTGGTGTTGTAGTATTATATGGCGGTGATTTTCGCCAAACTTTGCCTGTAGTTGTACATGGAGGTCGCAAGCAAACTGTTCAAGCTTGCTTGCGACATTCATACCTATTTCCACTAATGCAACATTTTCATTTGACCACTAACATGCGTTTGCAAAGTCAACCGGACTTTCAACGATTTTTGTTAGATATTGGTGAGGGCAAAACCGGTCCAAAGGTAGATTTACCGCTAGGATTAGTTGCTCTTGGAAATTCTTTAGATGGTCTCATTGATGCTATTTTTGATGATCTGGTTGATTTTTCTGAGCGCGTCATTTTGGCTGTCCGGAATGATGATGCCCAAGAAATCAACCGAAAAATCACTGATCGTATACCTGGTGATGTGCATCAATGTTTTAGTGCTGATTTTGTTCACGAGAATGATGAACATGCCCATCATTACCCAGTAGAGTTTTTGAATTCTTTACAATTGAGCGGTTTGCCTCCTCACCAATTAAGTCTTAAATGTGGCCAATATTTGATGTTGCTAAGGAACTTGAATCCGGCAAAAGGTTTGTGCAATGGTAGTCGTTTGCGTCTTTTGCAAGTGTCTTCCAGTGTGTTGTTATGTGAAATTGTAGAAGGACGCTATCGTAGCCAAGAGGTATTGATTTCTAGAATCACACATCATTGCAACGATAGCCGCTTGCCATTCACACTTTGCCGGAGACAATTTCCTATCACTAGTGCTTTTGCCATGACAATCAACAAATCGCAGGGCCAATCATATGATCGAGTTGGCATTTATCTTCGCAATGAAGTATTTAGCCATGGTCAATTATATGTGGCATTGTCTCGTGGTAGACATCCTGCAAACATTAAGGTTGCCAATGACAACAATGAAGCCGTGGAAACGGTTAAAAACATTGTTTATCATGAGGTTTTTACATGACATTGTCATATAAATTCCTATAAATATTTACACCTGAATCAGGTGGATGGAAAAGTTAAGAGTTTGTTTCAAACTCTGCATGTTTAGGGTTCATGCACGCTTTGGCGACGTCTCCTTCCATCCAATTGCATTCTTTTGGTGTTCAATTATGTTTTCTCAATTGAGACAACTTACCATTCAATTGAAGAAGGTTACATCTTGAATTTCACTATTCAATGAATGGATATTTTCCGATGCATGCATCTTTAGATGCATTTTATTTCTAAAATTTATTACTCTATTATATTATATTACATTCTTAAAATTCATGCTTAGGTCATGAAGACATATTTATATATGTAGATTGTTGTTACCTTCCTTTTAAACTATTTTGTAATATAAGAACTACATTAAAATGGTTGGACTAATGTGTTGCAAAGCAAGCGCCAACTGCTAGTTCTATTAAGAAAATTGCAATAAGTTTTTTGTATTTTTTGCTATTATTTAAATAGATTTTATTTTTTTATATTATTCTTGATTTATTATTAATAAGATTCTTAATATGGAATTTATTTTTTATTTGGCTAATTTTTCCATGATTTTTTTGTAGTTGGAATTATTCTCTTAACATATATATATATATAATGCAACTAAATAAACATTTATATTTTCTCAAACGTTTATTTTTTTAATGCTTTTTATTAGATTTTACTTTATTAAATATCAAAAATCTATTTTTTAATCTAGTTTTTAAAAATCTATTAGCATTATAGATTTAAAATTATAAACTATTTTTTTAATATAAATATAAATATAAATTTTTAAATGTACATGCCTTTGTCTACCTAAAGCTATTTTTCTAATAAATTTCCTAAATATTGTGACATTATTAATGAAATATTTATTTCATCATCTTTTTATTTATTTATTTATTTATATTTTTTTATAGTTTTGATGCATGGATAAAATTTGTAAAAGACATTAAGTAGATTAAAGTTGTTTTATTCTTCTTTTCTAATAATCAATGTCAAATCAGTGATATATTTATTAAAGGAGGTTTATTCTACTATTTTTCAAAATATGATTTTATTTATGATAGCATCATTAAATCAATTCTTAAATAATTAAATTAAATTTTTTTATCAATAATAACAAATAGATAGAAAGCTATATAAGAAAATTAGAAGTTAAAGCCTTATTTTTTTTTATAGCCATGAATGAGGATTTCCAAGATGATCTATCATATGCTTTTAATGAATTAGTTTTTATTATTAATAAGTATCATTTAAAATATTTAGTCCAAATTATACTCTCTTAGGATACAATTATATTATACAATATAAATTTCAAAAGCAGAAACAAAATTTTCCTTTGTTTTATTACTTTTGCAAATATTGATTTTGATCTATATATATATATATATATATATATATATATATTGGAATATTAAATAGATTTGTGCTTTTACTAAATAGATCCAATCTTGATGAAGAATATGGTAATCATGATGAATGTGATTGGTTTTTATTGGTTCAAATCCAAAAATAGAAAAATGAATCTAAAAATCATTATTTTTTTTTTTATGATGGTTAAGAAAGATGGATTGATTTAGTAAAAACTTGGGTCTATTTAACATTCTCTTATATATATATATATATATATATATATATAGGGCATTAATCTTATAAATAGTATTAGAAAAGTACTAGACTTTTTATTTTTTAAGATTATTCAATTAAAATTTTCATATAAAAAGATAAAATAAATTATTATTTTTTTAATAAAAAATACTCTCAAAAATTACAATTTACTTAACAAATGTAAGTAGTTTAGATTAATACCTAAATTTTTAAAAAACAATCCAACAACTATTCTATCTAAGCCTTAAGATTTTTTTCTAAATTTATTATTTTTGTTTATTGTCAATTTAACTTTATTCAAAAAAATTAGATTGGTACGCTTAAAACTTGTGAAATTTATGATGATATTAAATAGAATTCATAATATATGTTCTTAAGATAAAAAGTATCTTATATTTTAATTCCTAAAATATATTTAATTTTTAGGAATGTGAGATTCAAGTTAAATTTTAGGAGAGTAAGATTCAAGATTCTAAAATATAAAATTCTAAATAATAAGATTCTAAAATTTATGATTCAATTTTCTATTCTTTAATTATTGCTAAAAAAAACATTTCTTTAAATATTTTTTTATTTATATTTTATCTGATATTAAATCTTATTTATTAAAGTTCTTGATCCCAGTTGTCTATACTATATAAAAATTATTTGATCATTATCATATAAGTTAGACTCTTGTATTTTTTGGATACAAATAACATATCTTATGTGCTTGCAATGTTATTCCATTAAATTATTAGATCTTTAAAATAATTAGTATTAATCTTTTAGATAAAAATTTTAAGTTGTAAATTTTTATTTAATAGAATTTTAAGATCATTAAAAAAAATTGGACTAAAAAATGAATAATTATTTTTTATCTAATATCAAGAACTAACTTTATAGAAAAATGGTTATATTCTTTATTTGATGTTTCTAATCTTAAGAATAAGAGATAGGCAAAAAGTAAAGAAATAGAGGAGAAGAAGGAAGTAGAGAGAGAGTAGCAAAATGATTTCTATAATAAATAATGTCATGTTTCTTCTAAATAATATATCTTAGAGAAGTTTTCTTCATAGTAAAAATAACCGCATATATTTTTTTGATTATTTTTTTCCCAAATAGATTGTTGACTTCAGATTGATCTTTTTAGGATTAAAAATTTAAATTAAAATATTTTTAGACAAAGTATCTTTTCTTAGAATACTTTTACCTTTAGGCTACTTTCTATTAGACTACTTTCATTATTCTTAGATCATATAATATTAAATAAAATAATATTGTACCTTTGTATAAATGATAAAAAAAATATTTTTTGTATATAAATTTAATGTATAAGTTTTTAAAGTAATTTTTTATTTATTATTTATTAATTTATATATTAATGTATAAATGAATAGAAAAAAGTTTTTTAGTTTCAGACACTAAATGGTATTATTTAAAGAAATATTAAAAGTAAAATATATAAAATTTTAAATATAAAAAAATTTTGTTGTGAAAAAAATATTTGTAATAAAAAAAAAGTGTACAAAGAGAATTGAGTACACTAATATAAAAAATTAATACCATTAAATTAGATTAAAAGAGTTAATTTAGAATTTTATAATTTAAAATTATTTTGACATGAAAACAAACAAATACTAATAGAAAATAGAAATCTATATATTTTTAAATATTATAGAATATTTTAGTACATTGTCAAAATAAAAATCATAATATTTTAAGAAAATGTAGGTATTACCAACCATATTAATGTCACTTTAATTACAAATCTCAAAATCTGGAATCAAAAGTTAGCAAGAATGATAGATTGAAGTAACAACAAATTTAAACAGACTATAATTGTCTTTGAAGTGTTTTTAGATATTTTTAAGGTGATACATTGTATATTATATGTATATTAGATATGTGTTGCATATATTAGATATGAATTGTATGCATTTTTAAATGTAAAGTTATATGTGAGCTAACTAGGTAGATAAAGTAAAAATGAACAATCAAATATGGTACTTAAGAATAAATAAGAAAAGAAACGAAGGTGTGTTTAATTCAAATAATAATAAGAAAAACGACAATTTAAATAATAAAGAGTAAGAAAAAAATCATAAGAAAAAAATTATAAAAAGAAAGAATTGAGAGAACAAAGGTGCCAAAAATATATGAAAATTTAAAATAAATATAAATAATATAGCAACTATATAAAAAGACAACAAAAGAATAATTTTTTTAAAAAAATAAAATTTCATAACAAAAAAAGAATTAAAGTACCATTAATAATTTGAAATTGAATTAGTAAAAATAAAATAAAACAATAAAGAATTTTAATTATATGAAAAATAGAAACAAAGAATGTACAAGTAACAAAAATCAATCAAAAAAAGATACAAAAATAACAAGTTTAAAGAGAAGAAGAAAAAAATTTGTACTTTAATTGGTGTATATAAAATTTAATATGGCAAAAAAAATTTATTATGGTATTAAAGTAGAATTGAAGTGTGATATTACAAGAATAAAATTATTATTGTAAAAAATTACTAAAAATAATTAATATAGAAAATAAAATTAAGCAATAATTATATATAGATATATTTTTAGAATTATTTATAAATAAATAGTAATTTTTAAAAATAATATCAATAATATTAAAAAATATTATTAATAATATTAGAATGTAGATAAAATATTGTCCAACTAGAAAATTTTATATTAGAATATAAATAGGAATCTAAAAAAATATATAAAATAAGACTTGGCATGGTGATTCACAAAATGATTTCCAAGAAGATCCTAGAAAAAAACAATTAAGAGTAAATAAAATTATAAAAAATCAATATATTATAAATAATATACTAAAATTATAAAAATAAATAAATTATAAAAATAAATTATAAAAAAATAAAAAGCATTACAAATGCAACAAAAAAATTTCAATAAAAGAAGTGTTCCTTTGAAAGATCTAATGAAATAATTTTTATGAGATGTGGCTTACTAAAAAAAATATAAAATATTGAAGGATTTTAATTGATAAATAATAAATTTAAAAATCAAACTAATTTATTACAATAATTTACAAGAAGAAAATTTTGTAACATGCAAACTTTGTATTATAAAAATTATTGTTAAGGACATGAATCTAAATAATCAATACACTCTTGTGTTATTTGAAATGACTAGAGAATTATTCAAAGATAGTATAATATTAAACTAAAATGGCTATTGTCAAAGACAAGAAGAATATAAATTCTTGAAACTAAATTGAGAATAAGAAAGGTATTGATAAGAATGAAGAAGGCTTCAATTTTGCCTCCATATATACTATCTAACTAGAAGCTATGTGAAAATGTCCTATTAGACCTCCAACATGTTGACTTTATAAGACACATGCATTAACTTGCAAAGTAA